CTGTGCTACGCGTCTGTTGTGCGTCTGCGTGGCGTGTGCGTTCGCGTGCGGTCTCTGTTTATTACACACGGTTATGGACATGCCTTACGAAGTTTTGTAAAAAAAGCACGTGCTGTCAACAGCCAACATCAATTTTGTTGCATGTTGTATGCTGTCATGTCATGTTATGTTGCTATGTTGTATGTTGTAGTGTATTATGTCGTATGTTGTGCGCTTGGTAAACCGTGTTGAGTCACGCAGGCGGTTCGCTGCCCTACCCCGGCTACCCTGAACACGGCGAAGAGAGTCTGCGAGCACGAATTCCGTTACCATGACTACGTGACGTCTCCACCGTGATCACAGGGTACCGCCGGAGCTGTATGGTAAAGCTACGTCATGTGCACGCAGACAAGACTGTGAGCAGAACCCGTTGCCCGTGTGTGCTACGTACCCCCCCCCCCCCACACACAACACACACACCACATGTACGATGAACCTTACCATTACAAAGTGTCCCCCTGTGCAGCACAAAGTGACAAGTTAGGTTTTGCGTAAGTGAGTTCACTGGAATTCGTGGAAAACGCTGGGTTGGTAAAAAGTTGCCGTTTCGAATGCTCACTTCGTTTCGTAAACTTCGCCCCCATTCACGCATCGATTTTAGCCCTGATTAACGCAGTTTAATATGCGATGCTAGGGATTGGGGAATACATATCTAACTTAATTTTGATAGGTAACCATATCCGCATTTAACTTATGCCCCCAAGGCATGTATGATTATAGCCAACAACTGTTATAATTAACGCTTGCCACGTTATTTGGCTATTAAGTGTAATGTCGGTAAGCCACCTCAACATGGACTCTCCTGCCACGATGCCGTAAGAGGTAAAGTGTGGAGGTTACGATACTTTTGTTCTCTAACCCACTCATTGTGCTTCTCTGCTTTGTCATCCCTGGCCTTGTACGCGTCGGAAGCGATGAGTGTATTGATCTTGGTGAGTCAATGCGGGGTATGTATATGACGGGGAGGTGCTGTTGTGATTCCTCCTTGCTTCAGCGTTATTGCTATTGTCGGTTGTTCTGAGTGAAGCATGAAGATCGAGCATCGCATAAATACATAAACAAATTCAATGTAGTGACGGGCGTTCTTTTTTTCCCGCGTCGACAAACAACGATTACAACAACAACAACAACAACAAACGACGACGACGACAACAACAACAACAACAACAACAACGACGCACGACGACAACAACACACAACAAACAACAACAATACGACGGACGACGACGACGACGCAAACAACAACAAAAAACGAACAACCAACACAACCGGCAACAACAAATTAGCAACTGACACCAGGCAGAATCGTGCGACTGACAAAACACAGAAATCTACAAAAAAGAAACATTCGCTACATTTATTAACTTGGCCGTCATCTGAAGAAGCATCGTTACTACGGAAGTTCCAAAGCCCTCTTACATATCTGCAAAGCTCTACATATCCCGCCTGATCGCAGGTAAGTATTCTCTACTACGATCCCGCACCACACGACGCAGCACGCTGACATAACACATCCACAAGAGCCCTACAGAAAATCATCCGCTGTTCCATCGTACTGTTGCCTACCAATAAATGCTCAAGCAGGCATGGATTCCCGAGCGCGCAAACCCACACACAAAAGCTGTTGCATATTATTGTTAAACCAGTTTTTCTCATTTTTAAAGATGCGCACGCCAGATGTTGCGTTTGTCTGTTGAAACCATCGAGCACTCACAGCAAGAAACAAGAAGAAGTTACCCATTTCCACGCGACGTCGCCTTCGTTTTTAAGTCTACGTGAAATCAATCAGCCAAGCGATGCCTTCCCTGACACGGATTTGCTTAGACGAACTTTTTTCTTTCGTTCGACTTACAAGAGGCTTCGCTGATCGCTAGGCGACTATTGCGGTCTTGTACCGCGTGGGGAAGGATGAGTGTATTTGAGTTGCTCCCGTGGAGTCAATGCGGTATGTATATGAGGGGAGGTGCTGTTGATGATTCCTGCTTCAGCGTTATTTGCTATTGTCGTTGTTCTGAGTGAAGCATAAATGATTGAGCATCGCCTAATTACAGAACAAATCAAATGGTAAGCGACGGCGTCGACAACAAACGACGACATGTTCGATTACTCACCGTACAACAATAACGACGACAACAACAACAACAACAAACAACAACAAACAACAACGGCCAACAACAACAACAACAACAACGACGACGACGACAACAACAAACAACAACAATAACAACACAACAACAACAACGCGCCAACAACAATAGCAACTACACCAGCCGAGGAATCGTCGACCTTGAGAACAGAAATCTACAAAAAGAAACATCGCCTAATATTCATTAACCTGGCTCGTATTGAAGAAGCATCGCTTACTACGGACAGTTCCAAAAGCTCTTAATATCTGCAAAGCTCTACATATCCCGCCTGATCGCAGTAAGTATCTCTAATACGCATGGCACCACACGACGCCAAGCACGCGACATAAACACATCCACAAGAGCTACAGGGAAATATCCGCTTTTCCATCGTACTGCTTGCTACAATATATGTCACTTGGGCCATGGATTCCCGAGCGCGCCAAACCACACACAAAAGCTGTTGATAAACTTAACCATGGTTTCTCATGTTGGTATGTCTTAAGATACCACGCCAGATGTTGCGTTCGTCTGTTGAACGTCGAGCCACTCAGAAAAGCAAACAGAAGAAGTACCACACAGCCGCGACGTCGCCTGCGTAGAACGTGAAATTCAATCAGATAGCGGGTGTTGCTATCCCCCGGGCGTGGAGCGGAGGTCACGTGATACGTTGACGATGACGTTCAAACGTTAAACCTAACGCGGTAACACTCATCTCAACACGCCAACACTAACACTTCACACTAAATGATATATGTGTCGCCGCGCTTTTCATATATTTAGGCATTTCGCTGTCCACAAAATTAATCTATTGGTGTGGTGGACAGATATCCATGAGGGGCAAAAACCGCTAACCCTAAACCCTAATCCTAACCTTAACCCTAACCCTAACCCCTAATCCTACGCCTAACCCTAACCTAATCCCTTAACCCTACCCTAAACCCTGACCCTAACCCTAATCCTAACACTATCCCAACACTAGTGCTGCCACGTACGTTGCGGTCACCTCCCTCCACGCCCGGGGGATAGCATTACCCTCAGCCAGCGATGCTTCCCTGACACGATGCTAGACGAACTTTTTCTTTGTTCGATTTTGAACAAAAGGCTTTCTACGCTAGGCGACTATTGGGTCTTGTTCGCGTGGGAAGGATGAGTGTATTGAGTTGGTGAGTCAATGCGGTATGTATATGAGGGGAGGTTGCTGTGTGATTCTGGCTGCTGCTATATAAACTGTCAGGAAGTGTTTCGGCAGCAGTCTACCGATGTATGTTTACCGCTATCTATGCAATTGTAGCGGTGGCGCCGGGCCCTCAGGCTTCCAGTACGGTGGGGGGGGGGGTAGCTCCCTGGGAACCGGGATATTGGTAAATGTTTAGTGTTTGTGATTGTCTAATTGTTCTGTCCTTTTGTCCTGTTTTGTCTTGGGTTTGCTTACCGATTGTTAAGATATCAACAAAGAGGGCCACCATGTTGGGTGCAGTAGTCCCCCCTCTAGCGGCAGACAGGGGCGGATTAAGGCTCAGTGGTGCCCTAAGCACTGACCAATCTTGGTGCCCCTCTCCTTTCCACACTGACCCAGTCCATTTTAGTTGTTGACCTGCCTGACCAAATATACAATGCAGGTTGCAGCAGTACAAAAATGTATGTAGAATTTCAAGGAGGGTGGTGATAAACAGACGGGGGCATGGGGGTCCTCCCCCAGAACTTTTTTAAAATGTAGATCACAGGAGATGGTATTTGAGGCAATTTTGAGCGTACATGCATTTACACCTTCATTCTGACTACGAGTCAATCTATTTTTTTTTTTTTACACGTTTCAGTTGTGAGAAAGACCTCTCTGTTGTGCAGTTGGTGACCATTAATGTTAAAAATATTCTTAAGACAATTTCAACATTTGGAAAGGCACTCTCTAGTTTGTCTTCTGTAATTGTGTTGTAAAGTTCGTTGTGAGTGAAAGATGTTTTCTTGGTTGTTTTAAACTTATGAAGAACATATGAATGGAACTGCTGAAGCTCTGTAGACAAAGAGTTGTTCATGTCATCTG